AAGTGTGGCATGTGCCTTATTGGTTCTAGTTTCTTATCTCTTCAACAGGATATTAGCTTTAATCATACTAAAAGTTTATTCTATAACATTGATTGAAGAATAGCTTCCATCAATGTATTTTAGTTATCTTTTGACATGTCATGGCCAAGGCTGACCAAAATGTTTATAGCTCAGTGCCAGGATGAAAGTCTGTTAAAAAATTCCTGAATTCCCCCCAGGTATAATTGTCACCTACTACATATTGTACAAAGTAAAAATACTTGAGCATACTGCTGACCAGTAATTTCTTTATATGCCAAGGTCAGAGATAAAAATAGCTCTAATTTTTTTGCTTTAAAGATCATATTTGAAAGAGCACATTAATTTCAGTGTTTGTGAAGTTTGCAAATTCTTTTTTCACTAAAATGACCCCTCTTCCCATAATTCAACAGATGCTTAAAATTTTTAGTCTAGAATGTACCTAAATGATCGACATAGTAAATCAGAATTTCACTTACAGTGGATAGGAAGAACAAAAAGAGTGGAAGAATCCATTATCATTTTATGATAAGCTGACCCACTTGAGTTATATCTATGAGTGGCTGGATTATTTAATTGTTCTATATTCTTATAGTAGCTGTTTTTTTTCATTGAATGATGATAGTTATGTATGGAAGTAGTGCTTTCTTATGGAGGCTGCATTTTTTAAGGTTTTAATCTTATTAGGTCATGTTTTAAGTATGTTTTTTTTTTTTGCATTGTATTAGGATTTGGTGTTTTTGGGACTATTTGTTGAATATATGTATGTGGTGTAAGTGGGTGTTGTGCAGTAGGAAAAAGTGAAATTCAGACTAGCCTGCAGTGGCATTTGGAGGCAATGGGTTGCTTTGAGCGTCGAGCCTAGTATGGCTTGTCGACAGTGGAAATTTTTTTTTTTAATTTTTTTACAGTAGTTAAGTAAACATTTTAAAACATTGTATATAAACTTCATGTACAGGATCTACTTATTGCTTGTAGGACATTTTCTGGATCTGTGGTATATTTCCAGGCCACTGAGAGTTAATATAGTAGTATGTGTTGAGATAATGTTACTAAAAAATTATTTGTTGAGGAGTTCAGTATTTTTGACAATATGATGCACCCCTCATGGGGATAATGTGGTTATGTTTTATACAATGTTCAGATTTTTTTTTTTATAGGAATGTACTCATTTAATTTCTTTTATGATTTTTTACTTAATTGTTTCTATATTTTCATATTGCCATGTCTGATTGGGTGTTTAGTTTAGGTGTTGTTTTGTATGATTAGATTATGATAGGTGTAGTTTAAATTAGTTAAGTTGTTGATTTTTTTAATAAGTTTGGTTCCACATTTTTAAAATTTTAACAAAGTTACATTTAATTGCTTATCTTTTGTTTAAATCTAGATTAAGGTTAGTGAGTAACCAGTCTGGGTTTAGTCAGCTTTGAACTGACACAAATAGTTTATGTCCTGGGAGGTTAGATTAGTTTATACACCCCCACCCTTGTAAGGGCTTCCATAGAACAATGACCACTCATAAAAAGAAGATGTAATCTAGATGAACAAGAGATAAACTCTGCATGCAGTCTGCATTCAGAATAAAAATTTAACAATGGAAATTAAGCAGACAAAAAGTGTGTTAGTATTCTATTTTATAGATTTGTTAGCATAGACATTTTTCCATGTTTAATACATTTGTTGATATATTGTATATTTATTTGTGATGTAATTTCTGATTCAGTAGAAATTATGCATTCGAAATCAAAAGATTTTAACTGTTGGTAGAAAACAATAGAAAATAAAACAGTGTATACAAAATTATACTAGGTAATTAATATTTACCACTTGGCATGCCACTGAAGTGCTGATGAAAACCATATTCACAAACAAGTTTAGCATTTTTTTCTTTTGAAACTTGGTGCCAAAGTCTGACAGGTTTTCCTTCAAGCTTTTGAAACTTGACTTTGAAGCGTTGATGAAGTGCAAAATTTTCAACTCGATAAATCTGTGGAGAAAATTTGTTTCAATTGTTAAAATACAACAATTTCAAGCAAATGGGGAGTTACTTTTTGAGTAAGTTTCAAAACAGTGGTTGAAAGGGTGATATAAGTTTCACCCAAAAATATTTATTTCTGGGGAAATTTATGTTATTCTTTGAAAATTTCAAATATTTGTGGTGAGCAATTTTATCAAATTTTTCCTCTTGAGAACTATCTTTCTGCGGATTTTAAAAAGCATGAAAAAATATTCCCAGATTTTCTGTTTTTGTTTTTCTATTCTTCTTTTTAAAAAGCATCAAAAATGAAAACTATTTTTATTTGCTTAGTTTCATAATTGTAATTTAAAAAGAAAAATATATTAATTTAAAACATGCAATTAAAATAATGTAGTTATCATACAAATCAACAATGTGACAAAAATATCTCACCTGTAAAGTTTTAATCTTGACCAAAATTTTTCCCCTCAGTTCTTTTTCAATACTTATAAATTCTTTATCTGATTTACTGAGCTCTATACACTCTGGCTTTCCATTTCCTTTAGTGGTCCAATGAGTAGGTGTTCCCATGTGATCTTTAACTATAAAACAATAAATCACTTTTTGAAAACTGAAGCTAGACAATTCAAGTAGGCCTATGGGTTACACTCTGAAATCTGAAACTTTTAAAAGATCATTAATATGTGTGTAGGCTATAGGCCTACACGTCACCATTAAAAATCTCATAAATCATAAACATAATTATATTGGCTAGTCATAACTGCCTGCCACCTTTGACTATTCATTATGAAAAAGATTAGGTTTTATGAACAGATAAGTTATGTCTACCGATGATAGTTCTTTAAATGAACAACAATCTTCAATAGCCATAACACATTTGGAAGGTAAGAGTGAGTTCAAACATCACAGACATAATCAATCAATCTCCATCCACTTTGATGTAGGCCTAGGTCTAAAAATTAGTAGAATAACTTAGTGTCTGGTAGAGATGTAATGTCAGACAAATATAAAGCAACCAAAAGTAATGGATAATAAAACAATATCAAAATAAGCTGTTATGTAAATCTGTGGCTAACAAAATACAGGTTACCACAAAATAAGATTTTTAAGAGTTTAGGTTTAAAATATATTTTCAATGTTGATTTCAACTTGATTTTTTTTATTTCTAATGCTTAAGTGGGGTAAGCTTGGTCTGGGTGGTAAAGCTCAGGGTCATATGGCACATTATAGCAAGCAGCTAGAGATATGACATCCCAGTAGAATTATGACTCATGACACGCAGATGAACCACAGACATGACTCAGATGAATATAGGGAGAAATTATTGCTAATTGTTATCCTTGACTGGATTGTTCAGCTAGACACAATGTGGGCACTTGGAATGTGTGGTTACCGGGAGCACAGAGTGACTGGACAGTATCTCAAGTTACATGACAGTACTGACTCACGATAGTTGACTCTATTGAAATGATAAGGGTTGGGTAGAGTAGGCCTGTATATTGGGCCGGGAACCAAATAATGGTCAAGAATGACTGCTACTACATTCTTAGAAACAGCTCCAACTTTATAGTCTAGTCTACGATACATGCGTGCTACACTGGCAACTCTCTAAGAATCATTGTAAACCATTCAAAAAGTAATAAAGAATTTAGGAACCTTCCTTGAGACTTGACTTAATCAGTGGTAGAAAAGGCTACAAGTGACGTAAAGGCATAAATGTTACAAGACTGATGAAAAGAGATCATTTTTTTTTTTTTAAATTTTGAAGTATAATTATTAAATATATAAAGATACTTACTATTTAATATTTCAGAGCGTATGAGTCCTTTCTTTTCTTTATTCATATCAACAAACATATCTCCAAAGTTGAAGTTAATATCTTCTTTAATGAAACTTCCTTTATTTTCAGTATAAGCTTGCTCTACTTCCTGTTGTAAATCTTCTGGTATCATTGTGTATGTCACTTGAGGACTTGCTTCTGATCCATCTTTTTCTTCTCCTTGGGTTTCCATCATCCAGCAAAAAGAATGTTCCTTAAGAGGTGATGTGCTTATTACATTTGCTTTCATACATTCGGCACCTTTGGTTTGGGATTTACCTTTAGTGGAATCAAGTAAATGATTTTTATCCAATTCTGCTTCACTACCAGTAGCAGGTGATTTTTTTTCATCCACTAGACCCTCATCAATACTATAATCAATAATCACGTATTGATGTTGATCGTTTACTTTCAGAAATATTGTCACTTTACATTTCTTTAAAATATGATACATATAGTGTGGCTGCCACTAAAATAGAAATTGAGGTCCTGAGCAGTGAAGATAGCCAAACTTAAGTTTAACAAATAAGAATTTACACAATTTACACTATAAATGCCTTGTAAAACAAATGTAATGGGTTCATTCATTCTAGAGTATCAAAGAATATTTTTACTATCCAGTGTAAATTGGCATAAAAAAGGCTTTAGAAACAGAAAGTATGTTAAAAAAACTATTAAAGTAATCAATAAGCCACCTTTGTGAAAACTCGCATTTCTTATATGGTCTTTACAAATTGTAAAGTAAGTTTATGCTTTTAACTGGTGTATAAGTGTCCATTTAAAAAGCAATCTTACAAAAAGCATGGATGTTAATTTTTACATGATGTAAGTATCTTGATTGAAAATTTAGCTTGAACCTATAAATCAGTATCCAAATAATAAGTATAGCCAGGGCAACACTGTAATGTAAGTCTACTAACATATAACAGCTCACAGATTTTTTACCATTATAAAATTCAATTATCAATTTTTCAAATGTTGATTACCTCTTTATTCTGATCCATTAGAATTTTTTTTATCATTGTGATTTGATTTTCATAACCTCTAAAAATTATGTCTTTGTTGTCAATCTCTATTGTTACTGTTAAATCTGGGAAGTTTGTCTGAGCAGCTGTTTGCAGTTTCAGAACATCATGTAGCCAAAGGAAGTATTTGTTCTGAAAGCTTATCTTAACTTTCACCTTCTTAATTAAAAGGTTTTTTTTTATCACTGACATTTGTTGTTGAAAACTTCTGAATCTCACTGGCTACAGAATCCATGAGCTTAGACTGGTAGAACAAAGACAGTAGTAAAACATTGCCATCTTCAATAAAAATCTGACCATGTGGGTTTGTGCTGTTAAAATTTTCAATGTATTCCAATAACTCTTTATTCCTAATCAGATTTTTGCTTGATAAACAATTTTTTTCTCTGACAAGCTGGGATATAAATTCTTGAACAGTACACTGTTAAAAACAAAAATGTATTTATTTTTAGAATAAAAAAATAATTAATTAAATATTTTTCTTATTATTCTCCATTTTATAAGGAATGCAGCTTACCTTATTTCCTTGGTTATCTATAACAATCAGCTTTATGTCCTCACCAGCTTCATCAAGAACAAGGTGAATGCCAGAAATTTTAATACATTTTTTTATCGCTTGTTGTGTTTTCTTTAAACCAAGAAATCTTTTACAAGTTTCAGATAACTTAGTAGACTGCAAAATAAATATTAACAAGCTTTAGCTGATTAAAATTATTCATTCATAACTTACACCAAAGATGCTTGTTAAATATAAATGAATGTGCAACACATTGGTTATATATTTTCTATGATACCTGTGATGCTTGTTTTTTTTTAATTAAAAATATACAATTATACATGCACATTTTTTAAATAAAAAATTGTTTTTAAGGCAAAATTTGCGATGCACATAAAAAGTTATTTTTAATTAATACTCATCACATATGGTTTTTCTAATATCTGTGCATTTTGATAAAATTGATGGTTGTGTATTAAGGACATTTTAAAATCCTCCAGAGAAGAGTAGCTTGTAGACAGATAAAACTTAAGATTCTAAAGATCAATTCAATCAATAATGACAACTAATAAATCTACCAGGATGAAACAGAACATGAGATAAAGGTAAAGAACCACCTTAAGCTAGGCAAAGAACAAATAGGACGCAAAAGGTTGTATTTTTTTACCACCAAAATTTCACTTAATTGTAAAGATCTCATGTATGAAGGATAACAACAAATGCCAGAGTGAACATTAGTTTTATTACAGTACAAGTTTTTAAAAGTTTTAGAATGGGTTTGGATCTCTTTATTATTAAAAAGCAATCTAAGGAAATGAGGAAAAAATAAGGATCATATTTGATTTTAGTTAAATTCTGATGTACTGTAAACAGAAGAATAAATAATACTGCTTAAGAGAAAGGATCACTCTATTGAAATATAATATACCAATAATAAAATTAACAAAAAATAGAGTTTGCTTAGAAATAACTATAAAGAATAGCTTATGATGTTGGCCTCTAAAAATATAACTGAACCCACATGTTATCAGGGTTGAAAGAATATTTTAATTGAATGCTGAGGATTTCTGAATGACAGTTCCAGAAAAAAAAAAAAATTTTATGACCATTCAATTTTATAATTTTCAAACACAAATAATTTTAAAAAGCATCTTTGAATTAAAATATTTCTATAATGTTGAACTTGAGGAACAATGCCTCTCGTCTTTCTTTAGATTAATAAACAGTAATTGAATTTTTACCTTAAATGTTTTTTCTGATAATATTTTATGCATTTTCTTTACAAAAGATCCAGACCCTTCAATGTTAATGGATGTAGATGTTACTTCTACCTTACAAGGAAATTTAGTTTCTTTCAAAGCTTTTTCAATGTTTAAATGTTTTAGAATCCAAGGTATTACACTTTGCTCATAATGAATGATGGTAGATTTTTCAAAAGTTTCTGCAGTCACATCTTGTAAAGTCAGTTTTTCTATGTTTTTAAAAATATCAGTTGATTCTGTATTCTTTGCATGATGACCTTGTTGTCCAGCTCTTGGATCAATTAGCTCAAGAGATATCTGGTCATTATAAGATTGTGAAGTTGAAGCAATTTCTGACTCAAAAACTTTGTACATAGATTTCATATTGTGAGATGTCTCAGTTTCCTCATCCAATGACTCTTGAAAACAAAATATGGAAGTATTGTCAATTTTTGCTCACCAAATTTCCTTTTCCTTCTACATACAGGCAAAACACTTTCCATTTATAAAAAAAAGATTAATTGACAGCTTAAATAAAGCTTCTTTTAAAATAATGCAGTGAGACAACCAGATTAACATTTATTTTCCGAAGGTTGTATTACAATAACATTTGTGTTAAAAATATATTAGAGACTTTGAAGCTAAGGTACTTACTTTGGATTTTGGTTCCTTGCTCACTTTCATTTTCCACTTCATCATTTATGTGAGCTAGCTGATGTTGAGTAACATTGTATTCCCCAAGATTTTGTGACAAAATAAACTCTGTCACTTTGTCTATATTTTCTTTATCATATCCTTGAAATGCAAATAGTATTAATTTTTTTTCTTCAACAAAAACATGGAAACTCTGGAACATTGAATTGATGTCAGCAGCTAACTTCTCCAAATGAGTGTTGTTTTTAAATGAATAAGAGGTTTTCTTCTTAATAAATTTTCCAACAAGTTTTTCCAAATAATCCTATGAAAAAGAAATCAAAATACATTTCACATAAGAAATAAATTATAAATTTAAATATTGTATGGCTATATGTCATGCCTGTTTAATACATAACTAGATGTATAGCCTAAATAAATAAATAAATAAATATATATATATATATATATATATATATATATATATATATATATATATATATATATATATATATATATATATATATATATATATATTCATTCATTCATTCATTCATTCATTCATTCATTCATTCATTCATTCATTCATTCATTCATTCATTCATTCATTCATTCATTCATTCATTCATTCATTCATTCATTCATTCATTCATTCATTCATTCATTCATTCATTCATTCATTCATTCATTCATTCATTCATTCATTCATTCATTCATTCATTCATTCATTCATTCATTCATTCATTCATTCATTCATTCATTCATTCATTCATTCATTCATTCATTCATTCATTCATTCATTCATTCATTCATTCATTCATTCATTCATTCATTCATTCATTCATTCATTCATTCATTCATTCATTCATTCATTCATTCATTCATTCATTCATTCATTCATTCATTCATTCATTCATTCATTCATTCATTCATTCATTCATTCATTCATTCATTCATTCATTCATTCATTCATTCATTCATTCATTCATTCATTCATTCATTCATTCATTCATTCATTCATTCATTCATTCATTCATTCATTCATTCATTCATTCATTCATTCATTCATTCATTCATTCATTCATTCATTCATTCATTCATTCATTCATTCATTCATTCATTCATTCATTCATTCATTCATTCATTCATTCATTCATTCATTCATTCATTCATTCATTCATTCATTCATTCATTCATTCATTCATTCATTCATTCATTCATTCATTCATTCATTCATTCATTCATTCATTCATTCATTCATTCATTCATTCATTCATTCATTCATTCATTCATTCATTCATTCATTCATTCATTCATTCATTCATTCATTCATTCATTCATTCATTCATTCATTCATTCATTCATTCATTCATTCATTCATTCATTCATTCATTCATTCATTCATTCATTCATTCATTCATTCATTCATTCATTCATTCATTCATTCATTCATTCATTCATTCATTCATTCATTCATTCATTCATTCATTCATTCATTCATTCATTCATTCATTCATTCATTCATTCATTCATTCATTCATTCATTCATTCATTCATTCATTCATTCATTCATTCATTCATTCATTCATTCATTCATTCATTCATTCATTCATTCATTCATTCATTCATTCATTCATTCATTCATTCATTCATTCATTCATTCATTCATTCATTCATTCATTCATTTATTTATTTATTTATTTATATTTTTTATAATAAGATTTTAAACTTCATTATTGTTTAAGATGATTTAAACAATTAAAAACTACATTTATTTACCTTTAATTTGATATCAATTTTATTTATCAAATTTAATCAATAACCTAGAAGATGATTTGTAAAACAACATGTTTTTTTTTAAATGGCTGCAATAATATGACTGATACTCAGTGATTGGTTGGTTAGTATTTTAAGGAGTGTTGTTGTGACGAGATTGACCGTTCAGTGCCGTTCGGCAGAAATGTGTCATCTGCTAGATTTCTCCACATTCAAATACATGGCGGGCAAAATGGACAGGCTTAATTAGCTGTAGTCTCTAACAAGTTATTTTTTATCAGTTTTATTTTTACCCTGCATGATTTCAAAACATTAATGACATTAGTTCTAGTGGAAAGCAATTTATAATTTTCTATAGTTTAAAATATATTTTACACTAAATATATTTTCGTTATGGTTAGAACAATATTAAATAAAGCAATTCACGTTTTGCTTACTTTTATTATGTTCTACTCAATAATCTCAGCGATCAGACCAAAAAATGGCAAGTTTGCATCAAACACTAGTGTAAATTGTTAAAACTAGACCAGTATTGTTGAATAATATGCAAAAATAACAATTTTAAGTATATATTTCTGAAACGACCATGAAACATTGTTAAAAAAACAGAATCACGGTATTGTCATTTTTTGCAGCCATCATTACCATGAAGATGGTAAAAAATGTAGGTCCTTCGACCTATATATATATATATATATATATATATATATATATATATATATATATATATATATACATATATATATATATATATATATATACATACATATATATATATATATATATATATATATATATATATATATATATATATATATATATATATATATATTTATATATAAATATATATATATATTTATATATAAATATATATATATATATATATATATATATATATATATATATATATATATATATATATATATATATATATATATATGTATACAGTTACAATATACTTTTGTTCTTAAAATAAGAATATCAGAAAAGAATGCATAAATTTAAACTTACAACATTGCCATGTTTGTTACAAATAACAATTTTTAGGTTATCATTGCCAATAATGTCAACATGATAACCTAACTCTTCCACAACTTTTTTCAACTTAATTAGGAGTTTTTCATCACTGAACAGCGTTTCATCAACACAATGGCATGATATCTGATTTTTTTTTAGTAACAATCAATACAATAGTGTTGTTATTATAAATATTTAAAATGTAATACATTATATATACAAGTATAATAATTATAAAATGAAGTGGTAAAAAAATTCAAAAAGTAATGTTAAGTTATCTACTGCTAAAGTACACACATACATCATATACTTTCCAATTTTCTATACAGGGCAATGAAATACAACCTTGTGGATAATAAAAATTAAGCTATGCCTAAGTGTAAAAACATAACATTACCTTTTCATTCTGATCCACAAGAATCTTATTTAAGACATCAATTTGTCTTTCATAACCATTCAAATTAATGTCATGATTGTCAATATCTATAGCTATTGATACATCTGGGAATATTTTTTGGGCAGCTTTAGTAAATGTCATAGCATCAAGTAGCCAAATATAAAATCTGCTCTGAAAAGTAATTTGTATTTTAACTTTTTCATTTAGAACTTTCTTAATTTCCATGGCTATGCAATTTATTAATTGATCTTGATAAAACAGAATCAATAATAAAATTTTGCCATCTTCATTAAAGATCTGACTGTGTGAATTAGTTTTGTTAAAATTTTCTATGTATTCCAGCAATTCTTTGTTTTCATCCAGATCACTTTTTGATAAATATAAACAAGTTTTTTCTGTCACAAGTTGAGACATGAATTCTTGAAATGTTCCCTGTTGAAAAAATAGTTTTGAGAGGCAATTGTTTAAGAAAATTGTGGTGTGTGCATTTTAGTTTAAAATAAATTATTTTAAAATATTAAGCGTATGGTCTAAAAAAAATTTAATTGGATGTCAAAAAAGATCTATGTTTGAAAAAATATTAATCAAGTCTTTAAAAAATATTATGTATTGTGGCTACTAAAATGGGAACAACAAATCCCAGATGTAAATAATAATAATTACCTTATTCCCTTTATCATCAACAACAATTAAACTTAGATGATCATCATAAATTTCAAGAACAAGATGACAGTCAGAGTTTTCAAAATGCTTTTTAATATCTTGCTGTATTTTCTTTAAAGCAAGAAATCGTTTTAGTACTTTTGACTTGGTAAACTGAAAAAGCAATGAAAAATGTGGAACTTCAGTTATTTTTAAATGTAAAGGGCATGCTACTAATACTAAATTAAACATCTAAACTTTAAAAGATTGACTCTAAAAAAGTATTGGCTTTTTTTAATCAAAATATTGAGAAAGAAATGTTTCTTTGTTAACCAAGTGTTTCAATGTCAAGGATATGAAAGATTATAGTAAAAGTATTTTTTAAGTCTAAAACATCAAATTCAATATGGTGGCATCTGCTATGTCTTGTGTAGGCCTATATATTTTACTTATTCTTTTGTTTTATAGATTATCTGACAAATGTAAATCACAACAAAAAAGATAAGCCTAGTTAAGTTATTGTAGTTAGATAAGATTGTATAAAGTATAATTAAGGGACACCATTGTTGGGTAGTAGGGCATTCAACTAGTTACCTGGAACTCTCAAGTTCAGATCTCTATACAAACTCATGTTTGCAGGATGTCACTGAGTCTTCCCAGCTATAATGGGTACCTGACTAACATAAGGAAAAGTGAAGGTGGCTGACCACACCATCCCTTCATATGCAGAGGTCAAAAAATATATGAACTCTACTTCTTCATTAGTTCTGAAATTGGAACTTTACACTACTTATTAAGTATAATTGTCTGTAAACGAGTAAATAATCTCCAACAACCAGATGATTGATTAGTACAACACATTTCTAGAGGGGAACTAGGTATACCATTAAATAAATTTTTACCTTATAATGTTTTGGTGTAAGAACTTCATGCAACCTCTGCACTAAAGTAGCAGGACCTTTAATTTTAACTTCACAACTTTCAAAAGTTACTTGTACCAAAGAATGGAGATTTTTTCCTTTCAATGCTTTTTCAAAGTTTAGTAATGAAAGCATCAAAGGTATTACATTTAGATCATAATAAATATATATTGTCTTTGTGTCTGGACTAAATACATTTCCCTTTTTTTCAGCTTCTGAACTACAATCATCCACTTGATTTATAATTTTATGTTTGTAATGTTCTTGTTTTCTGGACAACCCATAGTTTTCCAGAACAGATACATCATCCATATGAAGATCGCCAACAGCTGCCAGTTCTGAGTCAATAGCAGTTCGTGTATTGATCTTTCGTAATAGCCTTTCATATTGGCACTCATATGGTTCAATGAAACAATTAAAATAGGGGATAACTGTAAGTTTGTTTGTCTCCAGAATCCATTCCTTATTACATACAGCCAATACAGCCTCTAAATTTTAAATATACAAAAAATGTTATATATAAAATATTTCATTAAAATAATGTATTTTTAATTTTTAGAGATCATGAAAGAAATTCTGACAAAAATTGGGGAAAAAAATAATGAAGAGGATATGTAATTAGTCCTTTTGTATATTTATTTTGATTAAATTGGTTATATATTTTCTTCTATATATTTTGCAGCTTTTGCCATGGTGTCACCCCCTCCTAAATGGTGTCACCGGTGCGGTCTGCACCCCCACCCCCTTACAACACCTCTGACTTAACAGTATACAAATTATTTAAGCTACCAATTTTTACAGATTTTCATATACTTTAATTACCACTTGTTAGGAATTTATTATACACATAATTGGATAATTTGGGTTAGAGGATATTTATATTGGCTGATTTATGGTAATGTGGAAAGGTGAAATTTTGTGTATGATGGTTAAGGTAGAGTGAAAAAGGGAAACAATAATTCAAGATTAGTGAATCTCAGAAGTTGGCCTGGTGGGGCCAGTAAAGCTAAAGGTTTGCTGAACTGAATAGTCCCAAGTTCAAATCCCCAGGCAGATGAGGCTCGAACAGCAACCCATCTAGTTGAGAAAACTCCAAAATCAAACAACTGCTGCCTTGTAGTTTGTTCATGATTGGAACAAAGACTATGATAGCTATTCCAGAAAAAAATTGCAGACTGATTGAGCTTATTACAATATTACAATTAAGTACAAAAAAAGAGGAAGTGAACCTCCTTAGGGTTGTCAAAGAGTGAAGGAGCATATATCTTATCTATGACTATATATAGTGAGCCCATACTTGTGTCTAATGTTGCCTATATAAGTGAAAACTGATATCCATAGTGTCAGCATCGATGTGCTATTGCTGGAGTTATTGAAATGTCAAAGCTTGAATTAATTCTCTAGGTCTGCATACGATGTTTATTACGTGAGTATTGTCATGTAGGTCAAGTAAAGAGCCCTTATATGCACTTGTGCTTAACATGCTATCTCTTGCCTTAACTCTAATGCTCATACTATAATTGTTTCTTTCAAATAGATGGAAAAATAAGATTTGGCTAAATACTTAGTTATTACTTACCCCATCCTTGATCAAATAATATTTCGAACCAATCTTCTAATCCTAGTTGTTTAACACAAGTAACTTTTCTACCACCATGTTTCAATGATGTAAACAGCAAACTTAATTTATCCTGAACACTCCTTGTCACAACACCATTGGTTCTTGCAAGAACGCTAGATGTTGGCATTTCAATCTCAGTATACAGTTGATGGCCTGAAAGGCTAAAAGACTTCCTTTGCTTGTAAGAAAGTAATTTACTGTTTCCTGAAAAATTTATATAGAAAAATGAAAAACTTAAAAATGATAAAATACTTCTGCTATTGTTGTACTTTTGAAATAAACCTACATACAATGACGTACAGGTATGTATTTCAGATATGTATTCATATATGTGTATGCATTTGTTTAATCATATAAGCTATTCAGAGTTTCCTTTTTCTATATCTTATACAGCATTTTCGCATGGAAATAAAGTAAAAGTATATATTTTCTATATAAATTTCATTTTGTTCGGGGGGGGGGGGGGGGGGGGGGGGGAAGGTAGACTTTCTTCAGGGGAGGGTGGGGAACTTCAGAGCTCCCCCTTTGAAGTGAAGCCTGGAAAAAACTGCTGTATTTTAAGATTGAAGATAAGCATATTTTCTATTTTTTAAAGAATTTAAATGAGTTTAGCCTGCTACTACTTGGGTTTTCCTGCATATATGTCTATAACAAAGATCATGTTACCAAAATGTCTCTCAAACTCCACAACTGCCCTGGGATGATTCCATGGATCAAGCCACAAATTTTTAATTGGATCTTGATCAAACAATGTCTGCAAGAGGTGTAGCAGTTCATCAGGGTTAGTTCCCTTGGCAAATCCATGTACTAACAACAGCTGGGTCATTTTAGAGATGTTACACACAATCCTCGATATAAAAAACACATGTTAATAATATCATTTAAAAGAATATAGGGTAGATTATAAAATTAGCGAGGGGGGGCGGGGGTGCTGACCGCAACTGGTGACACCATTTAGGGGTGACACCAAGGCAAAAAAATAGCTAAACAAATTTGAGGGGGGGGGGTGCAAATCGAAAGTTTGAGGGGGGTGCAAATTGAAAATTTGAAAGTTTGTCACCAGAAGGGTCGCTACGCCTCGGGGGGGGGGGGGGGGTGACACCATTAAGTGCCGCACCGGGTGACACCCGACCTCGCTACGCCACTGTTTACAACTCATAGTAGTCCTACTTAATTACTCAAGATCACAGATACAATTTGCTGATCACACAATAAACGGGCTTTTAATAAGGGTGTAAAAGCTAAACGTCTTCACTTCTAGATCTAATAGTAGTAATAGTATTTGTATTACATTGTTGGGGCTTTAAGATAATTTTTTACGTTTATTTAAAAAATGGAATAGCTTTGCATTTCTTGTTTCAATTAAAGTATCTTAATAGAAGAAATGCGTAACACTTTATCTACGTCTAAATATTAACTAAATAGGCTATTATCTAAATTATATAGTTAAAATCTTGAACAAGATCACTTTTTCACTTTCAGTTTAGCCAAATCAGTTCAGTTTTATTGCTATCTTTATCGATCGGGCTTATCTATAAAACTACGGGAAACTCCGGTACATTTATTACTCTGGTGTGTATTAAATATATAAAGAGAATAGATTTGTGCCAATTGTAGTAGAAATCTAGGCTACCCTGCCTGAAAATCAGGTTCAAGGTCCCTCCATAGCAACTTTTCTTTTACATTAAAATAATTATAAGTCAGTTTGTAGATGTAGACTGCCGCATGTCACAAATAGATTTTTGCCCCTTAGACGCCCAACTAAATCGATATTATACATTAGTAATCAAAACAATTAAAGCTTAGATCTAAATTTGTATCTTAAAATTATTTTAAGGCAAATATTTTTAAAAAGTACACTTTTCTGAAAGGGACGCAACTTTAACATGAAACGAAAGGGAGACAACTGTAAGTATTGTTTGAAGCTACAACTCCAAGTAATTCTTTTTTTATTTCAACTCCAGTTTAAGAAAGTATGTCGTTACACTTTAGCATTTAAGAATAATATTTTATAAACTAAATTTCAGCAGTATTTTACATTTTAAAAATATATTCCACTAAAAAAATTCAATTAAAGTTGATAAATGAATCCATTCAATTGTATTGTGACAGAGATTTGTTTATATACTGTGTAGGCCTTAACCAATGTGTTATGTCTATATAACTTGTTTAAAAAGCATTAAACCATTGTTTGTAGAATTTATCATTTGAATAGTAAAAGCAAATCTGCATCTTACTCACTTTGTTAAGTCTACATTATTTTTGTAAAGAGATTTGTAGAGATTATAATTGGTTTGAATAGTAAAAGTTAATTGACATTAAAGAAAGATATTTGATAAACATGATATGGCAAACTGTGTTGGTCATTGACAAACTGTAAGGTACTGCTCACTGTGATCCATCAGCCTTAAGTGTCATTAAGGCAATCATAATTTCATTAGCTCTAAAAAATATATTCTTGTAATTAACATCTACTGTAACATTTCAAACTGAGCAGCTTATTGTTCTATTTCATCTAAAATATTGTTTCTATTTTCTATTATATTTGTGTATGCCAACTGGTTACTTTGTATTGATCCACCATTATTTTCTATTTTATCACACAGTGTCCTGAGTAGAGGATGATAGATGTTGTGTGCTGGTACATTGAGGTCAATTGATAACTCCCAAGATGACTCATTTAACAAAGACAAAAAAGTTGAACAACTTTGAATAATGCAAGAAGTGCAGAGGAATGCTCTACAATTTTTTTAATAACAAAATGAGTTGAATGACAATAAACAATAGTTTGACCAAAGAAACAAAGACAATACAAGTGATCAATACACTGATACATCCTTACACAAAGACAATACAAGTGATCAATACACTGATACATCCTTACACAAAGACAATACAAGTGATTAATACACTGATACATCCTTACACAAAGACAATACAACTAATCAATATACTGATACATCCTTACACAAAAACAATACAACTGATCAATACACTGATACATCCTTACACAAAAACAATACAACTGATCAATACACTGATACATACACAAAGACAAGCAGCACACAACCATTGGATGATCATCATATTTTTGTCAGTGCCTCAGACACACAAGGCAGAGAAAGTAGAGTTCATTTGTGTCATTAACTATGGCATATAAAGGAACAATAAGGTTGATATTATGCAAAGGCATGTTAAGTTTCCCTAACATGAGTCAGGTACACATTAGAGTTGAGTAGACACAGTAATGTCCTGCTGTCAAGGATCTAAACTTGGGACTTTTGGGTTAGCAGTTGTTTGCTCCACCATCACACCATACCATCCTATTGGTTGATGGTACTAGTTTTTCCTGGTCTAACCAAAATAACTGTGGTCTAATCACAGAATCAGTTATTACTTTCTTCATACATTAACCACTATGTGTACATTAAATCAGACATAAATTGTATATAGTTTAAACAGTTGTAAGGCTATTTCACATTGTTCTAAAGCTATATTGAGTGAAATCAGTGTGATATAATTTACTTTAATTAGGTTGCACTAACATCAGTACACAATTATAAAATAATTCATGGATAAGAGACAGCAACATTCTTTTCACATATCCACCTTCATTATTTCTAAGCACTCACATCCAATTTATTACAGTACAAAAATTTGATTCTCATTAGATCAATAGATAAATTAATTCAGGAAATACTAACATTTTTGTTCATTCTAATACACTCACATTCCACATTATGACATATAATAACTATTAAAATAAGATTTTCAAAAAATAAATAATAATGTGTGTTTAAGAGAAAGAAACATTCAATTCATTCCAGCCAAATCAGTCTGTCAAGCAAGTCTCACCATAGATAAAAACACTAAAATGCCAATGTACTCTACATTAAACAATATAATTTGTATGCAATGTAACACAGAAAAATGTCTACTCACAGTATTCACAAAGACATTTTTCTGATTGGAATTCCAGCAGAACATATGGGTTTTTTGGGCAAATTATTATTTACATTTTCTTTGACCCCTTTTTTTAACTTAACCCTACATATACTACATCTCCCATAAGTGACTTGAACAAGCTTCAGCTCCATGGTTTTGTTTATTTCTTTTTTGCAGGAGTTTTAAGATAACTTGCCATTGAGTCTGCATCACTTGTTGTGTACTTTTCATATTCTGCATCTAAATTTTGACTTTGCTTAGTTCCACTCAAAACATCGCAATTACTCTGAACTGAATTATTTAACTGATGTGCTTTATTCTAACACCTGATGTTGACTTATTTATTATAGATTAAGCAAAATGTGTTTATATTCTTTTACTTTGTCATCTGTCAGTCCTTGAATCTTGAGTGTTGCTGTTATTTCAACTTTTGGCTGATGTTTACATTTAACAATTGAGCTGTTTGTTTGACCCATTACTCTATTTCTGCCTGTGCAACTTTGGCATGTTTCATAATTATCTGACTCATTATAGCTCTTGGTAAAAGTAATCAAAACTGGTAGTTCTTTCAAATTGCTTTTTAAATTCTGTAAGTTTATGAAAATATAAAACATTTTAAAAATTCTTCTTGATTATAAGTTGTAATTCATTAACAATGTATTCTAGTAGAATAAATGAGGATGTTGAATTTCACTATGATTTACACATCATCATAAAGAATAAAATATCCAAACAAATGCTGGGTATATCTGCACTACTGCACTATCTATTAACACTAATTACACATACAAATAAAAAAAATTATATATATATATATATATATATATATATATATATATATATATATATATATATATATATATATATATATATATATATATATATATATATTAAGAATGAAAACTTGTTTAAGCTACCTCAAGAAATGTTATTTGTTCCTCATTTAATTGCAGCAACACAGCATTCTTTGTCATTATGTGAGATAGCTCATCATTTAAAGCTGAAAAGGCTTCAGACATTTTTTCTTCACATGGTCCCCATATTATAATGGGTGTTGCAGGAATGTTGTTCTTTACAGACATTGTAAAGCTTGCTGAAGTAAATACATCTTTTCCTGTACCGATAAATATCTTTACAATTAGAATAGTTACCTATTTAGAAGTAACCTCTTTTACAGTAACTTTAAAAGAAATTATATAAAAAAGTTCCTCAAGCATTCTTGATTAAAATTTAAAATGAAGTTAATAATAAAATAAATAAAATGCATCTGCTAGTAATTTTAATTAAATGTATATTTTAAAAAATATTGTGTTTTTTTTAAAAACTTTATGTAAGTTTATAATCTTGTGATTAACCTTAAATTATTCTAAAAATCAATAATTAAATACTGGTATTGAAAACGCATACCTTTTTTTTCAAAGTTCCACAGGTCTTCTAAAAATATAGATTAATGTAATGAGTATATTTTACAAAGTTATACAGATGCTAAAACATGAGTTAACAGACATGTATTTATAACAAGAATATAAAGCTTTTGTAAGTAGTGATAAATCAACTTACTAATTTTCTCAAAAAATGAAAAATTATTTTGTATCTCTGTTTCTTGATATCTTTTTTGAAGCTCTTTATAGAATTCCTTAAAGATTAAAAATATTACTACATTCTTAGAGAAAATAAGGTTTAGTAACAGATTTTTTAAAAAATGTATGCAAAAGAAAGAGCTTTTGAAGTGGTAATTTTAAAAATATCAGTTCTTTATCAGTATGTAAAATTTAACTCACTTCAAAATATATTTTGTCATCCACAACCAAAACAATTTTCTGTTGATCTTTCAGAATGTTTTCTTCAAAAAGTAGCTCATCCAAAGTTTCAAACACTGTTTGAACCAAAAATGTTTTAGGAAACTTAGAAGTCCCAAACACACCAGGTGGAACAATATGCACAGCTTCATAGTCAGCTGAATCTCTCAAGCATTGTCTCAGGGACATTTTTATGTGCTAAAGAAATAAATGAAATGTATTTAAATATAAATCTAAAATTACAAATAGCAGCATCTGATAATTTAAAAACAAATTCAATAAAGTATGTACCAACCAATGTTAGTATTCTAGATAATTTGAAGTCCTTTTTATTCTTGATAAAACTACAACGGGATCTTCTTTATTGAAAAATACATAATTTTAGCACTCAATTATGTTATTAAATGCCTAACCTATACAACAGTTAATGCTCATAAAATGAAATTATTAAAATTGGCAATTGGACATCAAATCCCAGTTTTCAAAATATTTTTGTGCTTTATACAAACATAAAACAAGTGAACTCTACTTCACTTGCCCCATAGACTGTCAAGTTTGAAAGGGAAACTTTACTTTACAAACATAAAAAGAAGAGTAATCTAGTTTATTAGTGTAAATAGAATGAGTAGCAGATTAATTAGAAGCCAGGTTAATTATTGTCACTATTATTATCTTGCAGATTATTTATTATCTCTAATCTCTTCAACCATCCATTACCTAGACATTTTTTTTCTTTTATCCACATTAACCTCAAGCACATTTCAAGATAGCCCTAATATAAACAGATATTACAAAAATTTTCCTTCACAGCAAATGTTAAACTTTTTCTAGGGATAATTATTATTATATCACTATTTTTACCTTTCTGACATCAAAGCCCCATTCAGGAAAACAATAAATCTGAAAATCACTGATACATTGGGTCTTCTTCACATATGATTGGCCAATCACAGCTCCAAATGAATAAAAAAATTGCATCTCTTGAACAGCACCATATAAAGCTTGCTTAGAAACTGTCGCTTCACAGTAACATGGGCAAGATGCTGGCTCAAGACTTGGTGAGATTGGAAAACACAACAAAGTTCTTGATGTCTAGTTAAAAAATAAAACATAAATTTAATTTATCTACTTGCTTAAACTCAAAATTTATTAATATATCTTTTTCTTAACCATATTCACCCATTAACTATTGTCTATTTGATATCTAAATGTCTCAATAGTTAAAACAATTGAAATGATGGAAAACCTACCATATGTAAAGGGTTTCTTGCAATCATTTCTACCTTTGCATTTAGTTTGTTGTAGTCTTTATACAAAATATTTGTTTCTAAAGAAGTACAACAAAATCTTTAATTATTTAATACGGATCGGAAGGAAATAATAAAATTTGAAATAATTGGAAACATTTATAAGTACAAAACAATTTCAGTTATTAGTATTGATACAACGAGTACTGTTTGCTGTTAAACAGCTGAATAAGATGTCCAAGGTAACATTTCCAGACAAGTAACTTCCATACAACCAGAAGTAGCTTTGGTTAAAACATTATACTTTAAATTGCATAAATGAAGGTATTTCTTTCTCTCATTTGACAAAGCATCAACAAAATTAAAAAACAATAATTACCTGAATGGAAAAAACCAGCAAGGCATTTTTCTATTTGCTGTTCAATATGAAAGCCCTTTTTATTCAAATAATACATAAATTCTTTAAATACATTTTCATTGACCGATTCACAAATAAATAGATCAAAAGTTTTCAAAATGCCTGCAAGCTGAGCTTCATTTGACTTGGCTTTTAGTATCATGGAATGATCAATGATTATCTCAGCCATAGCGTCTAAGGGAAATGGATATTTGCTGTCATGCATCAGAGTTGTTGAAATTCCTATCTTATAACACTGAGCAGTAACAGCTTGTTGAAACATGAGGATGACACATTTTTTCAAACTCTCTCTGATTGTTTTACTAAAGGCTTGAACAGGTGTTTCAACTGGTATTTTCCATTTTGGAAGAAGTATAGTTACATTTCTTGTTTTTTTGTGAGTTGAAATAATACATTCCTCAACTGAAAATAAAAAGATGTTGTTATTGAAACTAGAGGCTTAAATGTAAAAACACATTGACATTCATTTACATAGATCAAAAAAGCCGCTAAAAATAAAACATTTTATAGTTTGTTTTTTTTTGTTTTTTTTTATTTTGCTTGGAACAGATGCTAATTTATAACCACAAATGGGTCTTAAATGTGCATATTTTGGAAATTCTATAAGAAAACATTGTGACAGCCATTATGTGAACTTACAACTGGAGCCTTGCTTATTGTAATGGTGTGTGGCAACCAGATGAAAGGAAAATTTTAAGGCAAACTATTCATGAAAACAAGAAAGTGAATTCACACTTACCATCATTTGATGAAACAAATTCAACTGTCATATCTTGATTTATTTCCATAACATCCCCTTGAACAAGATGAACATTCAATCCTGTACACTTGGCTGTTTTTATCAGAACAGCTTTATTGTATTCAGTGGCACAATAGGTGTCTTGAAGTTCATACAGCTGATCCCTCAACTCAGAAGCTTCAATTTTCATCTGTGGAAACTCAAATTGACACTGATACTTCTGTGAGATCAGTTGTTGCAGCTGATGTCCCATCTCTGTATTCAAAAAGGAAATCAGCCCAGGAAAGGTAACTCTAAATTCTTTATCATATATTTTACTCAATATGTCGTGTAAGTGTTTCTCAATAGTCTTAAATACTTTATCAGAACTATTATTAATTTTAATTCCATGTTGACCTAGAGTAATACATGCTCTTTTTGAAGCATCCAAGTTTTTCATGCTAACAATCTCATCTTTGAGAAATTTTCTTATGTAAGCCAACAATGGAGATTCACAATGGAAATAATAATTCTTAACTTGCTCACTTTGTTCATTTTCATTATCTATGTTAACTGAACTGCACTGCGTATCTTCTATACTGCAAGGATTTAGAGACAAAACTAAATTGTTGACATTGTCCAAATCATCCTTGTTATAACCTTGAAATGCAAAGAGTATCAGCTTTTCTCCCTCAGCCAAAATATGAAATGATTTAAAGTTTGAATTGACATCCCTAACCAAATTATCAAAATTTAAATTGTTTGTAAACAAATATGTTTTTAATCTCATCACCAGTTTGCGAACAAGGATTGGCAAAATTACCTGTGGAAAAAATGTACTTGAAAAATAAAATCATCTAGTAAGTCTTTATCAATAGTTGGAGAAGTTTGTGTTTGAAGTCACTATAAGAGCAATAAATTGATCATTAATTTAAATTTGAAACTATTGCTAAGATGTTTACCCAAAGCTATACTTATAATGGTCTACAATTGAAGCTACTAACACATTTTGTTAATCACCCATGTTAAAGCAAGTCAAATGTAAAATTTCAAAGTGAATCTTAAAAACTTAGGTAACTCATATTTTATGAAAAAAAAATTTTTTTTTAGCTCTATGTATAACCCTGTCTATTAGCTACAAAACAAGTAATACTCTTTTTCTTTTCTTTGTTTTTGCTAAAGAAATAAGTTTTTACCAATTGTCCAATTCTATCTTCAATAAGCATTTTTGGATCGTCTGAGCCAATTATGACAATATGATAACAAAAGTCATCCACAATTTTCTTTAACTGGCTCAAAACTTTTGCATCACTGAACAGCATTTCATGATAATGATCAAAAGTCATCTGTATAAATAGAAGAAATTGTGTTAATTTAAATAGTACAAAAAAAAATTAAAACACTTTAAGTACTAGGTTTTAGAGGTTAGTTAAGAGTTGATGGGGTGGGAGGAGATAAATTGTATTTTGACCCAAGCAAACAGTATGTTATAAAATTTAACATGTTATATCTTGATCTAAATAATAACATTTTATTCATAAATTTTAAATATTTTATAATGCTCATCTTTTATAGCTCAATTTCAATAATTAATATTTAACTGTTATTGATTATTTAAAACTTTGCTAAGATTATATATTATAATTTAAAAATAAACATGTTTCTATGTATTTATTTTTTCATTACATAATTATGGTAAAAATCTAATTTTGTTTAAACAATATAAATAAGTTTTACAGTAAGGTTTGTTTATGGTTTAACCATGAAGACAAGCTTACCCACAGTTTTCCAAAACAAAACAAGATTTTAAAGATCCATTGAACTAGTGTTTCTTCCAGACATTTTCTCCGGGGGGGCACTTGAAATTTTTGGGGGGGGGGGGCGGTAGACTTTCTTCGGGGGGGGGGGGGGAGGGACATTGTTAAAAGTATATATTTTCTATCTAAATTATATAAATTTAATTTTGTTCGGGGGGGGGGGGGGCGGTAAAAAATTTTCGGGGGGCAAAGCCCCCCCTCCCCCCGAAGAGAATTTTAACTGGGGAACCTGTACTCATCAAATAAATTTATTATTTACCTTGAAGTTTTTTTCTAATAATATTTGACGCATTTTCTTAACCAAAGATGCAGATCCAGCAATAGTAACATCTGTAGGTCTTATCTCTACCTTACTTGGGAATTTGGTTTCTTTCAAAGCTTTTTCAAAGTTTAAAATTTTTAGAATCCAAGGTATTATACTTTGCTCATAATGAATGAGGGTAGATTTTTCAAAAGTTTCTACAGTCTCATCTTGTAAAGTCAATTGTTGTATGTCTACAGAAATATCAGTTGATTCTGTATTCTGTGTAGGATGATTTTGTATCCAAGCACTTGATTCAGTTGAAGCTACTTCTGACTCAACAACTTTGCAATTAAATTTCATATTGTTTGATAATCTTTCAGTTTGCTCATCAAATGGCTCTTGAAAACAATCAAAATATGGAAGTACTGTCAATTTTTGCTCACCATTCCTCCATTCTTTTCCACATACAGCCAAAACAGTTTCTATTAATAAAAACAAAAGATTAACTGACAGCTCAAATTAAAAAAAAAATAATAATAATTCTGTGAAACAACCAGATTGACACTTCTTTTCTAAAGGTTGTTAAACAAAAACATTTGAATTAAAATATATGTATATTATTTTAGTGACTTTCTAGCTAAAATATATACAACAAACAAAAATGTAAAATAAGACTGGACCATGTAAAATTGACAAGATTTAATTACCACTAATTGAGAAGAAGATGTAAATCAACAGTACAAATTAAAAGGAATTAATTATCAAAGACAAACTTAAAATGTGCTTAAAATGTCATCCATCAAAGATATCAATCTATTGACTTTTTTTGGGTATATTTTTGGTTTAACGTATATCCAGATTTGTTCATTGTTTGCTTCTGTATGCTAATGTTTTTCTTTAGTTACAATTTTTTTCCTCTTAATTCTTTAGATGCAAAATAATTCAGTTAGTTAAATTTTTCAGGAAATTTAATGCCAAACTGATATACTTCCAGAGAAATATAACTCCAAGAAGCCAATTTATCTTTCATTTAATAAATTTTGAAAGATTCATATTTGTTGTAGTATCCAACAATGTGTTATTCACCTGTTAAAGTATCATTACAAAAGTTTCAATACAGTTGTGAGGAGACTTACGTGTCTTCCACGTAGGTGTGTTGTCTTAAAATTCTAATCACATATCTCATGAGTGTAACATTATTTAATCTTTATGAATGACCCCTCAATTCAAAAAAGGTATTACAGAATTATAACTTACAAAGTAAAAAATGATTCTAGAAAATTTTTAAAAAGATTTAAATTCAGATTTCAGAATTTAATTGTTAATTATAGTTTTAGCAAAACAAACTGAGATAAATTGATTTGTTTATTTCAGGTATAAGTTACTAGAGTTACTGCTTTTCAAAAACTTAGCATAATTTAGTAACTTTGAAGAGATAAAAGCTTCTTAATTAAAAACAAGTAATTAGCAAACAATACTTTTATAAACAGATAATATTGATTAATGTTTAATGATTGCTTAAAAACTACAAAATAACTATTGACCATAGCTACTGTTTTAGAATGCACAGCAAGGTTTTCTTTAGTTCTGAGAGGGCATGCAATTAATGCTAAATTTTCCTAAATGTTCTATTCAGTTAATTATTTTTCTAATACAGAATGTATGGCTTTAGTGGTTCCTATATCTACATCCGAGAAAAGAAAAATTTATAAAAATATAATAATAATATATTGTCCTTACCCCATCCTCCTTGGAAAAAAACTTCAAAACAATCATCATTTAAATCTTTGTATTGATATATATATTTTTTAAACATCATCTCCAGCTTGTTCTTAACACCAAATTTTAAAGTCCCAAATGATCTAATGAAAATCTTATTTGTTGGCTGAATGATTTCCCCAAGCAATTCATCTGCAGTTAACCTTGATAATTCACTGAGGTCTGTTAGGGAAAAGTATTATTTGAATAAACTATACATTAAAGACAGAAGTAGTACTATACATTTCTAATTATCTCTAATTATCTAAATTGTCCTTGTTTCTTTAGTAACATAAATATATTGAGTCATTTAACTTTTAACTGGCAATTATAATTAATAAAAGAAATCTTTCTATTATACAAATTTGAATAAATAACATTTTGAATTCCGTTAATATTTTCTCAAATATTTAGGTCCTAACAATTAAGATTAGAACATATCAATTTTATAATTTTATTTTTACATACCTAAGTTTTCTTTAAACATGGCAACAGCTCTATTTTCCCTATATGGATCTAACCACAGTTTTTCAACATTTTTATGTTCCAACAGCTTTAATAAAATATCTCTAAGATCAAGAGTTGTGCATCTAGTTTCAAATCCATGAATTAATAATAAATGATCCAT